GACGCGCGCGGCGGTCCGGCGGGGCGGCGAGCGGCGGGAGCCTTTGGAACCTAGGCAAAGGGGTGCGTGCAGCCAGGTAGGCTTGCAAGGTTTTGCGAGGAGGCTTTGCAAGAATCCTCGGAGGAGAAACTCCCCGCACTGCGATCCCCTTCCAGTTTTTAGGACGGTCAGAGCCAGCAGACCACACAAGCCACAGTCCCGGGACAGCGGGTGGGGTGGCGATGGCTTGAGCTCAGGGGTCAGAGGATCTGCCCCTGCAGCTGGTGTCGCTGATCACTGGGACGGCCCAGCCCCTTCTGCCAGACCCTCGGGTTGAGTCTTCACAGCAGGCCCCTGAGCAACGACAACCTCTGAGCAACTCGAATTCCCGAGCTGAGGCATAGACCAGGAATCCTAATGGGCTGGGTGGAGGGATGAGAACTGGGGAGGACGCAATCAAGGGGATGCCCACCTGGGATGCAAGCAGGAGGGCGCCTGGAAGTGAACTTGGGGGACAGCGGAGAGGGTGGCCAATACGCCCAGCTGCGGTCTACAGCCATTCAGGAGTGGCTGAAGCGGAGTGAAGTTCTCAGAGCTGCGCTGGGTTTTGTTTTTGTTTTTGAAGTTACTCCACAGCACGGGACGGACACTGCAGGGCACTGAATGGTGTGACGCGTGGGTGACAGCCTGGGTCTGAGGTCAGGTCAAAGGGGCTGGATACTGGCAATTTCGCGTGGTCCACTAAGAAGATGCCTGCCTGGTACATGACAAACACTCAGATGTTAGCCAACAGAACCCTAGCCTCTGAGCATCTTCTAAATCAAAACTGCATTTACCAAGACTAAAGGCAAGGCTCTAAAACCTTTTTGGTATAAATACTTGTACATCTGCCCCCAATAGTTAGCCTTTTAGCCGTACTTTTGAAACTTTCTACCAGATTAAATGTGTTTTTGAAGATAATGAGCTTGTTCGTTCGTTCGTTCATTCATTCATTCATTCATTCATGCATGCATGCATGCATTCATTCATATTCATTCATTCATTCATGCATGCATGCAGGTATGCATTCATTCATTCATATCTGTCTTCATGTCAATAACTGCTACTCTACTCCAAGCCCCACCCCTTCGTCTGAACTGTCTGAATAACCAAAGGGGTCCTGCTGCACCCACTCCAGTTCTCACGTTGCTCCCACCCCTCAGTGCCATAGGACTGATATCTTCTCTGATTTTGACCAATTTCATTGAGGCAGTTTACATAAAATCAAATATATCCATTTTTAGGGGCTGGAGAGACGGCCTTACCAGCGCCCACAACTGTAGTGGTTTGATTTTTTTTTTCTTTTTCTTTTTTTCTAGACGGACTCTCATTAGATAGCTCTGGCTGTCCTGGAACTCACAGAGATCCACCTACCCGTTCTGTCTCTCTAGTGCTGGGATTAAAGGCATAGGTCACTATGCCTGGGTCTACAATGGTTTCAGTGAGAATGGTCCCCATTAAGCTCATATGTTTGAATAATTGGTTCTCAGTTGGTGGAACTGCTTGGGAAGAATTAGGAGGTGTGGCTTGTTGGAGGAGGTGTGTCACTTTGGGAGAATTTGGAGGTTTCAAAAGACTCAAGACATCCCCAGTGGACTCTGCTTCCTGTTTATGAATTGGGATGTGATCTCTCAGCGGCTGCCCCAGCACCAGGCCTGCCTGTCTTCTGCTATTCACCCCGTCCTCAGGATGGTGATGGACCCCTATCCCTCAGGAACTATAAGCCCCAAATAAACGCTTCTATAAGTTGCCTTTGCTCATATTTTTTTTTTTTATCACAACCACAAAAAGTAATTAATCCAGCTATCATCTGGAAGTTCAGTTTTAGGGAATCTGACACCCACTTCTGGCTCTAGGGGGCACTAGGCATTCATGTGGTGCACAGACATACATGCAGGCCAACAGATACAATGTAAGATAATATATATCCATTTTAAGTGTGCAGCTCAGTGAGTCTTAAGAACTATAGATTCCCGTGGGCCAGTGGGTCGGCTCAGCTGGTAAAGGCACCTGCTGTCAACCACCTGAGTTCCGTCCCTGGAGTCCAGACAGTGGAAATCCAGAGAGCATCAACTCCCACAAGGTGTCCTCTGACATCTACCCATGCCCTGTCCAACATCCATGTATGTTGCACCCACACCTACAATAAAGAGATATATTTAAAAATGTATGCGTTCATGTGACCAGCTAGGACTAGCACCTTCCTGTGACTCTGATTCCTTTCTCTGTGCTATATGAAGAAAAAAAAAAAATGCCTGAGAATTTTGTGGGGAGAGGGGAGCAAAAAATTTATGAGTAACCCTGCATTGTCCGCAGGCAGTGCGTCCTTACCATTCTCCTCATGATCTGATGAGTCTTTTCATTGTCTTTGGGCTGTGTTGCTACATCTGTAGTTGTCAATAGTAAAGCAAAATGACTCTTGTCTATTGGAATGTCCTGTCTCGCAGAAGTTCAGTCGATGTATGTTAAGAAACCAGTTATGCCTTCATTTGCACCTTTATTTCAAATACTGCTCATCTGTAAATTTCTGTTCTTCCGTAACGTTTTTTTTTTTTTTTTTTTTTTTTTTTTTTTTTTTTTTTTTTTTTTTTTTTTGTTTTTTCCAACAGGGTTTCTCTGTGTAGCTTTGGAGCCTGTCCTAGGAACTCACTCTGTAGCCCAGGCTGGCCTCGAACTCACAGAGATCTACCTGGCTCTGCCTCCTGAGTGCTGGGATTAAAGGTGTGTGCCACACACACACCCCCAGCAGTTCTTCTGTATCTTATTTCCTCGTTAATGAGTTACTTTTTTAAAAAAATTTATTATGTAGAGTGTTCTGCCTGAATATGTCCCTGCAGGCCAGTAGAGGGCACCAGATCTCATTACAGATGGTTGTGAGCCACCATGTGGTTGCTGGGAATTGAACTCAAGACCTCTGGAAGAGCACCCAGTACTCACAACCTCTGAGCCATCTCTCCAGCCCATGAGTTACTCTTTTACATTTATTTTTATTTCTATAAGGAAATCATAATTTTTATGTTTTTGTTGTTTTGAAGACAATCTTTTAGCAATCTCTTTGTATAGTCACCAACACGTAATCTTGGCTCCTGCCAACAGCTGATGCTACTGTCCTCCCATTTGCCTTTTTCTATCACGTAGCAATAAAACTGTATGATGTCTTCTCCAGGGTAGGCTTCCTTCAGCATGTTTCTAAGACATCCGCTTTCTAGATATCAGTGATTTGCTCCTTTACACTGCCTGGTAATACATATTACTGTCATTTGGGCACACTGTAATTTGTGTATCCACTTAACATGATGTTTTGTGAGTTGTTTTCAGTTTGGGGCTGTGATGAATAAAGCATCTATGAATGTTCAAGTTCTGTGTGGACATGTTTTATTTTTTTTCTTGGGTAAATAAACACCTAATTGGCTGCAAGAAAGAAAGCGGCCATCTTGCTTCTCAGATGGTACCCATCAGCAACCTAAGAGAGCCCTGGCTACTGCACATCTATGTCCATTGAATGTTGTGACTCTTCTAACTCTAGCCATTCTGTGTTCATGGGAGTGTCTTATTGTTTTCATTTAAACTTGATAGTAACAATGACCATTTTTATGAACATCTTTTTCAATGAACATCTTTTTTTTTTTGGTTGAAGTGCTGAAATTACAGGCATGGGCCACCACATCCCTTGCCAGACTTTTTGGACAAGTGTTTGATCCAATATTTTGTTTTATTTACATTTTTAAAAAATTTAATGTTATAAGCTGGGCGGTGGTGGCGCACGCCTTTAATCCCAGCACTATGGAGGCAGAGGCAAGTGGAGCTGAGTTTGAGGCCAGCCTGGTCTACCAGGACAGCCAGGGATAGAGAAACCCTGTCTTGAAAGACCAAAACAAAACAAAAATAAAGAAACCCTAACTTTATGTGCATGGGTATTTTGCCTGCATATATACCTGTGCGCCACATGCATGCTTGCCTCCAATAGCCACTGGATCCCTTGGAACTGGAGTCACAGTCATGAGCCGCCATGAGGGTGCTGGGTATTGGACCTGAGTCCTCAGGAAGAACAGCTAGTGCTCTTAACCATTCCAGTCCATTTTTAGCGAATTCATTGATTTGATTTTTTAAAAGGAATTCTTTGCTTGTGTATATTGGTGTGGTGTGCACATTTGTGAGGAGGTCGGCTGCTCTTCATTTTATTTACCCAGGCGGGGGTCTCTCTCTCTGGACTTGGAGCTCATCGGGTCATCTAGCTAGCACTGGGGGGGTGCTGAGGATTTGAACTCTGGCACTTATACTTGAGTGGCAAGTGTTTTATCCACTGAACTACTTCCCTAGCCCTACCATTTTCATATTTAGATCTATCATCTATTGTAATTAGACTATTGTATATGAAGGTGTTTAGGACTCCAGGGCCACTAGGTGCAGCAACTGTATTTTCTTCACTTGAGATCTTTTGTTGAAGCTGGGCAGTGTGGCGCACACCTTTAATCCCAGCACTAGGGAGGTAGGTAGATGAGTTCAAGGCCAGCCTGGTCTACAGAACAAGTTCCAGGGCTATACAGGGAAACCCTGTCTCAAAAACAAAACAAAACAAAACAAAACAACAACAAAAAGAAATAAACTCAAGTCCCCACGTCTCACAGGAGTCTGCTTCTAGACTCTGCTGAGTTCAGTGTTCTGCAGGCACCCTGAAGCCAAGAACACTACCTACAATGTTAACGACTTCAGGCAGTGTAAACCAGTTTCCAAAACTGTGGACTATCCTTAGGACCTTTGTATACATACATAAAAATTTTATCAACTTGTCAATGTCCACAAAAAAGCATGCCATCCTCTTCAACTCTACATTTTCCTAGCCAGCAAGATGGCTCGGGTGGTAAAGGCACTTTGCCTCCAAACCTGATACACGGAGTTCAGTCCTGGAACCCCACATGGTAGAGGAAGGGACTTCTACAAACTGCCCTCTGACCACACGTGAACTGGCATGTTCACACAGACACATGCCCCGCCTTGTCCCCGCCCCCGCCCAATGAACGTCAAAGAACAAAACAAAATCGTTTGTTCTGGTGTCCCCACAGGTGAAGCAGATGCCTCCTCTGACCTGCCAAGGCGCCAGCATGGCCGCCCTGGCCTCACCAGCCTTGCCCAGTGGTCTCCGCCCCCCACCCACTCCCACAATGATCTTCCTGCCTCTGCCTCCCGACTGAGGTCTTCTTACACTGAAGCCTGTCAGATTTTCCACCTCCTCAGACAGGTTGCCTGTCCCCCTTTCTATTATCCCTTTGGGTTTTCTGCTCAAGCCCTTAGCAGTCTGTAGAAGGGTATGTTCACACACCTGTCCACATCTGCCTTTTCATGGATGTTGCTGGCAATGCCCAGTCCACTTGCTGGCACCGAGGTCAATGCCTGATATCTATTGGCTGAATGAATAAAGGCAAGTGTCTATTTCTGAACATTTTATTAGGGCAAAACAGTATTTGTGGGATGATTCATATCAAGTAGGTCCCCTGTGAATTCTTAACATGCACTCTGAAAATCGACACCCTCCACAGCCTACTATGGATAGCTTCACAGTCATCCGATATAAAATGAAATTTTAAAAAATCATCATCTGGCAAGAAGGCAGCGGGCTACAGAAGAGTGGCGTTGGTGAGACATGACTCGATGAAAAAGGTCCCCACATTCCCAGGTGTAGATAAGGACATGGCAACAATGGCAAGGGGTAGATCACAGTACGCCTTGCAGATTCCAGTTTACAGTAACCTGGTCAGTGGGGAAACGTGGGTCAACAGGACCGCCCTAAGTCAGCTCCCCCATAGACGCCTGCTCTCCTCTTCCCCTCCATCCCTTCTTGTTAGCTGCCTTTGTACAGAGAGGGATCAAGACTGTGGCACGCAGGCTAGACTATAGTAAAGGCTTCCATGCCCTGCGAAGAGACTCAACAGGGAGGAAGCTCTCAATTCCAACTACTGGCTAAACCCATCCTGAGGTACAATGTTAAGGGGGAAGGTAAGTCACTACTCCACCCCACTTGGTGGTACAGCCTCCACTCGGTTGGAAGAACCTGCGCCAAACAGTCAGGAACTGCACGAGAGACCCGGGAACCGTGCTGGACTCTGGACTCTGGGTTGCCGGGAGTTCCCTTGCACATGGGGAGAACGGACGGTAAGTAAGCAGACACTCAGCATCCCACCCGGGTGCAGACACCTTTCATTCCACCTCCCACACCGCTCCCCAAACAGAGCTTTCGGGATTGCTTCATTAAAAACAGTGACTGCGGGGGTAAGGGCCTCGGCACTCTTCAGGGTCAGTTTATTACAATCCATTATACCAGAAACAGTAACAATGTAAGGCCATACCGTAGTAAACAGAATCTTACCCACCGCTCCCCTACCCCCAAGCTACTCCGAAGGGTGAACTGTGAATGGAAAACCTCCAGACTCAGCATTGATGAAAATGGTCATTTTCATGAAGGGCTTAAGTTGGCTCCTTGTTTCCCTCCTAGAAACACTTCACTCTGCGGAAGTCACCGGAAACTACAAAAGGAACAACAGCATTTTGCAGGCAGGACAAGAGAAGGAAGGGATCACTGGCAGGCCCTAGCACTTCTCTGGGCTCTGAGTCGGCTATCAGGCTGGACACGGCAGCTGGCCAGGAGCCCGAGCACACAATTCATGTGGCTAAGGCAGAGGGGAGAAAGGACATGCTTTTCTCCACATGGAAGGTATTTTGATTGACCGGCTTAACGGATTAAGATGCCTGCTGGGCACTGAGCTTACAGGTAACAGCCTGTCCATAGGTTCTGGAACTGGGGTGGGGGTGGGGCCATAGGTTCTTTGACAAGCAGAATCCTGATTTTCATAAACCTCTCTGTTCATAGCCCCAGGCTAAGGTGATCTCACCTGTGAAAAACACTCCACAGCTCCTGGTCATTACAGGCACAGGGCAGTCAGAAAAAAAGCACAATTCTCCCTCTTTTTCTAAAGCCACATTGGAAACAAAGCAACAGGAACACCTAGGTATTTCTCACCTGCAACAGCGTCCTGGTACTCAGTCATAACAATCCACTATTTTATTTAAGAGTCTTACCCTGTAGCCCAGGCTAATCCAGAGAATTCTAGGAGGTCCTCTTGCTTCTGTCCCCTAAGTACTGGGATTACAGGTGTGTACCATACCTGACCCACAGCAATCATTCACACAGGAGAACCAGTTGTTTTTCTTTTCTATGGGGTTTTGTCAAACATACTACAGACAATTAGGCAGACTCCTCAATTTGGGAAAAGGGAGGTGGTAGCAATCATTTCCCTCTTGTCCAAAGAGTTGGAAAATCTAAGTGAGCTGTTCATCTCGCTTTTTGCAAAGTACATTACACACCAGGTAACCTGACCACACCCTGCCAGTCACGGAGACTCAGATATGGATGGCCTCAATTAAAAAAGGAAGAAAAAGTCCCCTGACAATCACTGAAGTACATGGCTAGGCACGCAAGGAGCAGGCTGTCTACAGCACAGGCCCCAACTCTGCACCAGCACATGTCAAGTCTTCTCTGGGGCTAGAATCCCAACCACCAAGCAGCAGAAGCTACAGAGAGGGTGAGTGAAAGACCAGAGGCGATCACTACGAGGATGTTCCACCCTGCAGCCTACCAGCCTACAGGAGGGTGTGGGGCAGGACAACTCAAGGAAGAAGGCTGATTTTGAAGACTGCCTGGACCAGAAGAGTTGAAGAGCATGGATGAAGAACTGAAGAGGGCTGGATGCTTAATCAAGGACACCACAGAGAGGAGATGCTCACTGCCCCTGCTCCTTGGGCCATGTCTTACGCATGATTCTGATTGGCTGTGAAGTGGATCTTACAAACATGAAATGAATAAGGACAAAACGAAAAGCATGACGCAAAGTGCTAGGATCAGTCACGCCTTGCAGACCAATCGGCACTCAGCTCTGGTGGTGATGGCTGACTTGTATGTTTGAATCTCTTTAAGGTCCAGACTTCTACTCATTCTCAAATGCTCGACTATTATGGCCTTGTATCAGTCCAAAATTTGGATAATGACCTATGACATGACTGGACCCAAGATTTCTATTACAGAGTTACAAATAACCAGTCACATATAATGTGCATACACTGTTTTGTCCTCTTCAAAATAAACTTGTAACTTAATTACATTTAGCTTCAAGTAAACTTTGTACCAACCAAGTGATACACATAAAAATTTAAATGCCGGTCAAGAGCACTTTAATTTGAAGTGACTTTACGTAAGCTGAAAGACTAGCAGGCAGGTTCATCGCTTAACATTTGCTACTTCTGCAAGGCCTCGATCTACATCATTAAACAGTAACTATACTTGGCATTCCAGTGGGATTCTATGGGGGAGAGTGAGCAAGGTGTTCTGAGTTTCATAAGACTTAGTTATGGAATCTTTTTTTATAAATGTAGCTCTTGTCTCTTTCTGTGGTTCTTCCACTTACCATTTCTTTCTTTCTTTTTTTTCTTTTGAGACAGGTTTCACTATCAGCCCTTGCTGTCCTTAAGCTCACTGAGATCTACCTGCCTCTGCCTCCTGAGTGCTAGGATTAAAGGCATAGGCTACCACACCTAGGTTATGCATCCATTTCCATTCTCTTTTTGGAGTGTGGGGGTGAGATTTGAGACAGGGATTTTTTTTTGTCTAACAGCTTTGGTTGTCCTGGAAATCACTCTGTAGACCAGGCTGGCCTCGAACTCAGAGATCTGCCTGCCTCCACATCCCGAATGCTGGGATTTAAGGTGTGCTACCACTGCTTAGCTTCTTTTCTATTCTTTAAAAGAGCCACATACAGCCTCAGACCATCTCAGGGGATGAAAGCTCACAGAGGTCAAGAGGGCCAAAGATGGCGGCGATCCAGGGCATGAAAAGAGAGCTTCACAAACAACACTGCTTCTGTCTTCTCTTCCAGGCTCTGCAGCTGACAATTAGGTCCCCAGGAGAATTCAGTGGGGGCATCTTTACCAATAAACAGGATAATTCTAAAGAATGACATACAGAAACACTTTTATACAGTTCTTTTCATTCTGTTCTCAACCGTTCCCTATAACACTTGATCACTACTAAAAGACAAATGCATCTTCAGTAACAATAAAGTCAAAAGTTCTCTGCAACTCAGCTTTGGTCAAAAGAAAAAAGTAGCTTTCAACGGTGCTCTTCAGATGTGTTCTTTGGTCAAGCCGCACAAAGCTCTGGATGAAGTCCCTGACCTGGGGGTGACAGGAAAACAGAGGCTATTCCAGTTTAGGAAAGAGGTATTTGATCAGAAATGCCTCAAGGAAACCAAGTGTCCAATGGAAGCACAAGAGAAGGCAGCCCCAGATGCTGGGTTAAAGTGGTCTTAGGACATTAGGAGCAGAAGAACTGGCATTTGGAGGAAGGAGCACTGCTCAAGTGGTCGGCATCCACAGGGAGAACCTAGACCACTAACGATCGGGAAGGGGAACGCGGGCAGAGAGAGGACTGACCAACACTTCCCTTTACCAGGGCAGATCCTAATCTGGACCCAGAACCAGCCAGAGGCTGTCCTAACTTTGGAGGTGGGAAGCATTAGAGTTCGATCTGGTGACGAATCCAAACTCTGGACACATCTTCAGTCTGTGACCATATGAAGAAATACCTGATAATGAATAAATTATTTGGTGATCAGAACAACAACAAAAAACAGAGTAAGAGCAGTCCAGCGAGGTCCTTGGCCAGGGGGAGTCACATAACAAACCTCTTGGCATTGTTAACATTTAAGACTAAAGACAGAATGCTTTGGTTGATTAACTTGACTGGTTAAATAAGGGTTACAATGGGGGCAACCTCCGAGACCTGGACGGGAAGTCAGCAGAAGGCACTTGCTCCCTAGGGAGAGGGCCAGTTAGTCTCGAGGCTGGATAGCCAGGGCCAGGGTAAGTCTTGATGGATCCAAGCCCATGAGGTGGCTGGAATGGGGAGTGGGGAATGCCTGTGTGGTAAGCCACAGGCAAGGGTTAGCTTGATTTCACAAATAGAATAGTTATAAAATAAAACATTTTTAATGGACAAAGTAATCATATATATATATAAAGGTGAGACTTAGCAAACAAAGGAAGAATGTGAAGCAGTTTGTTTGTTTTTACTATTTACAAAATGCCATTTGGAGTGGAGGTGGCCACCTTCAGTAGCTTCAGAACTGTCTTTCACATGAGGTGGTCACTGAAGTGTGGTTCCTGGAACTGGCTCAGAAAGGCCACACGCTGTCCTGGGAGGGAGTTTCTCCCTCTAGGGAGCACCAAAAAGGCTCAGTCTTCTGTCTCCTCATAGGTCGTCTCATCAAAGGGCCTGTCCAACAGAGGCACCAGCCGACGGCGTGAGTACTTGAGCTGCAGCAGGTCCCCAACTTCATCTATCTCCTTTAAAGCCTAAAACACACAAGACAGGGGTCAGGCAGGACAAGCAGGATGCAAGCATGCCCAACACTTTCCTGGGCTGACAACAGTGGCAAGGTTATCTTGGTGGGACACTGAATTCAAGTATTCAGGAAAGACTGTCTACAGCTGAGGAAAGAATAGCGTCTGAGCAAGAGCTCAGGCCTGGCCATCAAAACGGGCCGTGAGTACCCAAGCATAGAGGCTACGGTTCTTCTAAGTGTAACGTGCTCAGCAGGAAGGGGAACAGGCTTCCTGTCAGGATTATAGCTAGAATTCTGTAGGAGAATGCGCACCTTGTCTCAGTGAGCACCTCAGAAGGCAAAGGCACCCTCCACAAAGCCTCACAACTCGAGATCAATCCCCAGGACCCACACAGTGGGAAGAACCAACTCTTGCAACTTGCCCTTTGACCTCCATATGCAAGTCATGGCATGTTTGAACTGAGCCCACACCCATACTCAAAAGCACAATAAATAAAAATTGTAAAAATTTTTTAAAAAGAAAATGTGTATTTTAGAACTGTTAACTAGCATAAAGGTAAGTTCGCCTGTTCTTTATTCCAAAATGTGAAAAGTATAAAGAGCTGAACTTCACTGTGCTATCAGAACAAAGTACTTCTGAGGCCAGGCTCAATGGAAGACTCCATTCTGAACTTCAGACGGGAGAACCCATTAGTCATTTATGTCCTTGATTCTGATAGAGGATTTATACATATGAAACAAAAGTGTACGTGACTCAGAACACCAAGGAAAGGATATTTACGAACTGTAACTTCAGGAGCACCTAGTATTTCTTTTCATCTGTGTAAAAAGGGAAGTGCTTAGAAACAGGCAGTGAGCTGAAACAGACTCACAGTGCCTAAGGGGATAAAGATAAGTAAGAGTTCTGTTCCCATATCCAGTATTTCACACAAAGTTTTGGACTTTCTTGTTGTTGTTGTTTGATGTGGAATCTCAACAAACTTCCCAAGCTGATCTGGAACTCCTGAGCTTAAGTGATCCTCCTGCCTCAGACTTCTGGGCACCCAGGACAACAGGCATATGCCATCATTCACAGCCCCAGACAAGTTTTATCTACATAAAAAACAAATCTGTAATAGAAACTGCTGGCCTTAAGTGAGGTTATTTGGTTAGATTAGGAGCAAAGAACCATTACATGGTACCATTTCTTAACAAACCATTGCAGCGGTCTCTGGCTCAAGGCATAAGATGAGCTCCTAAGAGGAAAATGGGTTCATCACAGGCTGAGTGAGGAACGCCAGCAGAGCTGCCCTCCCACAGCTGAGGCCATTATTCTTCCCTTATGTGGAAAATAACCATTGAAATATGACCCGCATGCTACAAACCCCAACTTTTTACTGCACACAGTTCAGTGCTTCTAGTATAATCCCATCAGGGCACAACTATCATCACCTCACTAATTGGAGAGGGTTTTCTTTTTTCTTTTTTTCTTTTTGGCTTTTCAAGACAGGTCTGTTTCTCTGTGTAGCCCTGGCTGTCTTGAAACTGGCTCTGTAGACCAGGCTGGCCTCTGTCTCCCAGTGACCTCCCACACTCAGTCTGTTTATCGCTCTGCACGCCTGCTTTTCTCTAAGCGCTCACAACCACCACTGTATTTTCTGACACCGTGGAGTCGCCCACTCTGGGCTCTCCTTGTGAGTGGACTCCTAAGTGCCGGCTGTGTCTAGCACAGCTCGCAGGCCTGTCCACGCAGCAGAGTTGCAGCTTCACGGGCACCCATTCTGGCACCTGCTGGCTTTAGAAACTATCCTTTGCTTACTGCCTGCCCCGGCTGGCCTGTTAACAACCAGCTGACCAGGTGCTTAGGCGAATTCCCCAGCTCTCATTCCGAGTCTCTGGTCTAACTGTGATCCCTGGGCTGGTACTTGCCTACCGCTTTAGTTATTGTAGGGTGTAATTAGATTTGAATTGACAAACATGAGTATTCCACTTTCATTTTTAACAACATGTCAGTTCTTTGGGGGAAACCTACTAGTTCCATATAAACGTGAGGATCAGCTTTTCCATTTCTGCAAAAGGTACAACTTGAATCCTGATTGAATTTGCACTGAATCTGTAGATGACTATACTGTCATTCTTACAATATTCTTTTTTTTTTTTTGAGATGGCATCTCACTATGTTGCCCACACTAGCCTCAAACTCCTGAGATTAAAAAGGATCCTCCTGCCTCAGCCTAAGCAGCATAAGTAACTGAGACTATAGGAACGCACAACTTTGCCCAGCTTGTTAAGCATAAATCTAACAATTTTACAAGGTAAAATCTTCCTTATCTAAACTTATACTTAGGTATCTACTGACCCCTGATGGTGAGACTAATAAAAAAGGGCCCTGTGCACACTCATGCTGGCCCTGAACTTGTGACCCTTCTGCTCAGCCTCAAGTGCTGGGACTTAAGGTCTGCACCACGTCTGGCCTGAGAGTCCCTTTTCATTTGTTTAGTGCTGACTCTGTCAAGTTTTCTCTGATCTCCATATACGCTCAAGCACACACACCAACATCTCATACCAAATAAATGTTAATTTTTAATAACGTGACAGGACCCAGTACTGAATAAAAATTAGTTTGTATCACATAAAAATATTGTTCATTTTTAGTGTTTAATTCTATAAAACATCACAAGATAAAATGACTTCAACAAGCCTAATGTTTAAAAATAAAATAGAAAGCTTTAGCTAGGTGTAATGGCTCATTCCTATAATCCCTATTCTTGAAGATACAGAGGAAAACAGGCTCATAGCCAGGCATGACTACATGTAAGACACTGTCTCAGAAACAAAAAAAGCAGAAGCAGGAAAAGTTCTGTGAGTTCAAGGCCAGCCTGGTCTACAGAGTGAGTTCTAGGACAGTCAAGCTGTTATACAGAGAAACTCCATTTTGAAAAACCAAAAAGAAAAAATCAAACAAAACAAAAACCCAAAACAACAACAACAACAAAAAACAACAAACAAATGCCAATCAGATTATTATAATACTTCTAAAAAGAATGATTTACAAAATTCCTTAGGGCTAGTAGACTGTAGCCTGGTATAATGGCCCTGCTTAGGAGACAGAAACAGACAGGTTTCTGTGAGTTGGAGACCAGCTTGTCTCAAACACAGAAAGAAAATAAAAAGCACACTATCACTCACCCACCCCCAATCCACAAGGAAACCGTTACCAGCATAAAGAACTTGCTGGGCAGGGGAGAGGGTTATCTTAGGATGCCAAAGGAACATCAGCAAGGTTCCTCGAGTGGAGCTGTGATCAACGCACAGCATGACCACAGGAGAAAAGAAGGCTCCAGAAGGGAAACTGTGCACGTGTGTCATCAAACTCAGACAGCTGGAGTCCTGCTTTAGGTCCCATCACCAGAGAGACGACAGTACAAGTGGATGCTGACCGAGTGAGGCAGCTCACACGTACAATCCCAGCAACCAGCAGGCTCTCCAGTGTGAGTACACAGTGAGTTCTAGAACAACCTGGGCTACTTAGCAAGACCCTGTCACAAACCAAAAGGGAGGAAGTCAGACTGTTCTCCAGAACTCTAGAACTGGATTTGGTGGATGATTTGAAAGATTCTCCAATTGCTTTGAAATAGCCATTCAAAATAGCACTGCCTGTCACTGTCTCATCAGTTTAAGATGCTAGGTACTTGGGACTGCAGAAATGGCTCAGCGGTTAGGAGCACTGTGTCCTCCTCTAGAGGACGGGGGGTGGGGGTGGGTTCAATTCCCAGCACTCACATGGCAACTAACAACTGTCTGTAACTCCAGTTCCAGGAGATCTATGGCACCAATTATGCGTGTGGTACACACATAACACCATCTGATACACAGCCTCTTTTAGTACGTGCCATATTGACTCTAAGGTACTTACCGTATCAAGTATTTCTTTGGTATGAGCTGCTGACAGGCAAAATCTGGCTCTGGACTCAATGATCGGGGTAGCAGGAAATCCCACCACAACTACACCAATGTTCCGCTTCAGCATCTCCCGCCCGAAGGCACTATAAAAGGAAAACAGGAAATGAAACCAAGAAATGTTATGGGGCATGGTGGCACATGCCTGGATCTGAGTTCAAGGCCAGCCTTGTCTATAGAACTAGTTCTAGGACAGCCTAGGCAACACAGAGAAATCCTGTCCCCAAAACCAAAACAACAACAAAAGAAACCAAGAAGTGTAAATAGCAGCCAGTACAACGTCTTGTTGGGCTGATTCCTCCCCCTGTTCCCCATTACCCTCTCCAAACAGGGTTTCTCTGTATAACAGTGCTGGCTGTCCTGGACTCACTCTGTAGACCAGGCTGGCCTCGAACTCACAGAGATCTGCCTGCCTCCGCCTCCCGAATGCTGGGATTAAAGGCCTGCGCCGCCAGCGCCTGGCTGCTGGCCTGGTTACTGGTGATATAGGATGAACACTTAGAACTGACGGGTCGGTCTAAATTCTGTGTTTCACTCCTCTGAGGGCCACTCCTTCACAAAGGTGGATGCACCTGTCCCTGAAATATAGTAACACTGGTTAAGATTTCAAAATCCATCAGTGTTACAAAAACTCAGTTCTCAAAACAGTAAATTTTGAGACTGTGAGGACAAACTTCGCAATTCTTATACAACAACAAATCCACCACAGCTGCCTTGTGCCCTTACTCCACATCTGAATCCTAACTACATAATGAACTCCAACTTGGTTTGGTTGTTTACCAAATTATGCTTTGTGTTTTATCTTCCCTTAATTTGCTCACAGTATCTGGGAATAAGAGACTGCCCAGGGCAGGTGTGGGAGGTAGAGGCAGGCCAACACAGTGAGGAGGCTTCATCTACACAGTGAGAACTTTCAAAAAGCAAGCAAGGAAAAAAAAAATCCTGCCCATGTAGCAACACAGGAACGCCAACTTCTTCCCCTCCAGCGCCAACATTTCCTTCCGTCTAATGACAGGCCAGCTGTGACCTTCCACAAAACGTACCCGATTTTGGCTGGCATGTAGAGCATCAAAGGCACCACTGGGGAATCTTCATTGCCATAGATGATGAACCCCATTTCCTTCAGGCGTCTCCTGAAGTACTTGGTATTCTCAGCCAACTGCTGTATACATTCTTTGCCTAGAAAAAAAACAAAATAATACTAAGGAAGAGAAGAAAAAGATGACCATTTTCCCAGCCCTCTTTTTATCTAACCAGGTCTTTTGGTTTTGGTTTTTTGAGACAGGGTTTTTCCGTGTAACAGCCCTGGCTGTCCTGGAACTCTCTATGTAGACCAGGCTGGCCTCAAACTCACAGAGATCCACACGCCTTTGCCTCCCAAGTGCTGGGATTAAAGGCGTGCGCCACCACAGCCTGGCTTTATTCGTGTTTTCAAACAACTTTTACTGTGTAGTCCAGTATGTCCTTGAACTCTTGGAATTCTTGCCTCAGCTTCCCAAGTGCTGGGATTACAGGCATATGCTACCACACTCTTTTCTTCTAACATAAAATAGTTTTGCACATTAACCTGTATGGAATATAAACATGAATATGCCTTGCTCATGGGGCTGGAGAGATGGCTCAGCAGTTAGGCACAATGGCTGTTCTTCCAGAGGACTTGAGTTCAATTCTTAGCACCCACAAGGCAACTTACCACTGTTTATAACTCCAGTTTCAGGGGACCCAACACTCTCACACAGACATACATGCAGGCAAAACACCAATGCACATAGAATAAAAACATAAATATGCCTTGCTCTGCATCCTGTTACTAGTCATTCTAGCTGTTGCTAACAGATTTCATTTTATTTTGGTACGGGGCTAAAACCGAGGCTCTCACAAATGCTAAGCAAGCACTCTACCACCAAGTCTGCCACAGCCCCAACCTGACAGCAGCTTTTTGTTTACAGAGGTTTATTCCCAGGCCAGCCTGGTCTATAGAATGAGTTCTAGGACAGCTGGTGTCACACAGCAAAACCCTGTCTCAAAACACACACACACACACACACACACACACACACACACACACACACACACACCTCTAACTTCTAATTGAATAAATATTTAGCGAAGTGTTGACGTTACACTAGTCGACCTATGATCAGATGGCCAAACAAGTCAATAAATTCAAAAGATTAACCTGTACAGTGCCAAGACTACTGTATGTTCTTCTCAGTCAAAAGTGCATCATGATGAGTAAGAAAAGGTTGGAAGCCAGGCACGGTGTCGCACACCTTTAATCTCAGCAGTCTAGGAGGCAGAGGCAGGTGGATGTCTGTGAATTAGTTCAAGGCTAGCCTGGTCTACAGAGCAAAACCCTGTCTTGAAAAGGAAAGAGAAAGAAAAAGGGTGGTGTACTTTTCTCACGTTAGAAATTCAGTGAATTAGTATTTTTAAAAAGTTTAAGATGACACAGTTCATAAATTTATCAACCATTAAGATACACAGATAATTCAGATGTCCTTAGAGTTAGAACACTGCCATACTCACCATTCATGGGAAACTGTAGCTAAGCTGGACACACATAGCTCCAAATTAATACCCATATATATACCCATATATATGGGTATTACATATACATACATACATACATGCATACATACATACATACATATAATGATTTCAAGTCGATCAGAGAAAAATACGAACCTTAGATTGGACTCATCACCCTGAACATCAAGGAACACTAGCTAAGTTATGCATGTGCCTTACAAAGAACAAGAGCTAATATTAAGCGATATATATATATATATGCATGTATGTATTCTGAGAACTGACGAGAATTACATACCCTAATTTCTCTCAATATAAACACCTCAATATGGGGCTTGAGAGATGGCTCACAGTTAAGAGCAATGATTGCTCTTCCAGAGGACCCGGGTTCAATTCCCAGCACCCACATGGTGGCTTATAATTGTAACTCCAGGATCCAACATCTTCACATAGACATACATACAGGCAAAACACCAATAAAATAAAAGAAATAAATTAAAAAACCTCAATATATAAGAATGCCTATTCTACTTTTAAAAACTTCTATTGACTGGCTGGGTTTTTTTCCCCCTATAAGACAAGCTCTCATGTTTTCTTAAAAGTTTTTATTGCTGGGCTGGAGAGACAGCTCAGTGGTTGAGAGCACCGACTGCTCTTCCAGAGGACGTGGGTTCAATTCCCAGCACCCACATGGTGGCTCACAACCACTTGTAAGGAGATCTGGTGCCCTCTTCTGGCCTGCAGGAACACATGTATACTGTATACATAATGAATACATACATACATACATACAATCTTAAAAACAAAAAAAAGGATACAATTAAAAAAAAGTTTTTTTTTTTTAATTAATTAATTAATTTATTTATTTTTATTATGTACACAGAAGAGGGTGCCAGATCTCATTACGGATGGCTGTGAGCCACCATGTGGTTGCTGGGAATTGAACTCAGGACCTCTGGAGGTGCAGTCAGTGCTCTTAACCTCTGAGCCATCTCTCCAGCCCCTGAAAGCATCTTTTTTTTTTTTTTTTTAATTTTTTTTCTGAACTTGTTTTAAATCTTTGTTCTTTTTTTTTTTTTTTTGTGATATATATTTTTTATTTTACAATACCAATCAGTTCTACATATCAGCCATGGGTTCCCCTATTCTCCCCCCTCCCACGCCCTCCCCTTACCCCCAGCCCACCCTCCATTCCCACCTCCTCCAGGACAAGTCCTCCCCCGAGGACTGTGATCAACTTGGTAGACTCAGTCCAGGGAGGTCCAGTCCCTTCCTCCCAGACTAAGCCAAGTGTCCCTGCATAAGTTCCTGGTTTCAAACAGCCAACTCATGGAATGAGCACAGGACTTGGTCCCACTGCCTAGATGCCTCCCAAACTGATCAAGCCAATCAACTGTCTCACCTATTCAGAGGGCCTGATCCAGCTGGGAGCCCCTCAGCCTTTGGTTCATAGTTCATGTGTTTCCATTCATTTGGCTATTTTTTTTCAATAATTGAGTAAAACTGAAATTTATTATATGCCACAGTCATCCTAGGGACCTCCATGCTATATATATAGCCTCTATGGTTCTATGGGTTGTGGTCTGATTGTTCATTTTATATCTAGAATCCACCAATGAGTGAGTACATACCATAACTGTCTTTCTGGGTTTGGGTTACCTCACTCAGGATGATTTTTTCTAGTTCCATCCATTTGCCTGCAAATTTCATGCTTTCATTGTTTTTCTCTGCTGAGTAGTACTCCATTGTGTATATGTACCACATTTTTTTCATCCATTCTTCCGTTGATGGGCATCTAGGTTGTTTCCAGGTTCTGGCTATTACAAATAGTGCTGCTATGAACATAGCTGAGCATGTATCTTAAAAAAAAGTTTTTATTGCTATGAAGATATACTATGACCAAGGTTACTCTGATAAAAGAAACTTGTTTCTTTTTCTTTTTTCTTTTATTTTTTGAGACAGGGTCTCTGTTGCAGAATAATCTTGCCATACACTGTGAAGATATGTTGCTCTTATACACTGTGAAGATATATTGGTTTAATAAAGAGCTAAACAGCCAATAGCTAGAGTTTAGGCGGGACTTGAAAGGGAGAGAGATGTAGGATGTAGAATGCAGAAGGCAGGCGAGTCACCAGGAGACAGAGGGCAAAACAAGATGAACATGCTGTACTGAAGAAAGGTATCAAGGTAGAATATAGACAAGAAATATGAGTTAGCCAGGCGGCGGTGGTGCACGCCTTTAATCCCAGCACTTGGGAGGCAGAGGCAGGCGGATCTCTGTGAATTCAAGGCTAGCCTGGTCTACAGAGCAAGATCTAGGACAGCCACCAAAACTACACAGAGAAACCCCATCTCGAAAAAACAGAAACAAACAAAAAAAAGAAATATGGATTAATTTACGTTGTAAGAGCTAGTAAGTAACAAGCCTAAGCAATTGTCCAAGCATTTATACTTAATAATAAGTCTTTACATATGTGGTTATTTGGGAGCTAGCTGGCGGGACAGAAAATTACACCTATAGGTCGTCTTTCTACATAGCTCTGGCTGTCCTGGAATTTACTATGTAGACCAGGCTGGCCTCATACTCAGAGAGATTTGTCTGCCTCTGCTTCCCAAGTAATGAAAATAAAGATCAGTCTGAATTCACGGCAAGACTGATCTTCACAGAGAAACCATGTCTCAGAAAAGTAAAAGGAAAAACAAAAACACAAAACAGCAAGGAGGAATGGGGTAAGAATGGTAATTACATGACATTTACTCATGGATAGCACACTTAAAGCCTGTGCATTTTACCTCATGAATGTCACTGCTGTAATCAAATGAATAACAGCCAAATACTTGGTCTGTCACCTGGAGCTGGAATTGAGGCTAATACTCTGATCTCTCTATTCATAATCTTAATCATAGCCAACTCTTATTTAGTAATCATTCTTTCATAAATTGCAAACAAACAAAACACACCTCAACAAAACAGAGACCTGAGTGTCCGGGTGGACTTGGCATTCTTAGCCTTTGTTGCTTAAGACAGAACCTGCAGGCGGGAACAACTCAAGTTTTTGGCACTGGGGGCTCCAAGAATTTGTAAGACAGGGGAAGTGTTGTGAAAACAGCACTTGAGACTCAAAGCTCTTGTCCTGAGACAGGAAGTGAAAACATAAAGGGACCAGCCCTTCCTTTCTTTCCCTTTTCTCTTTCTAAACAATTCCATGAGTGATACACAGATCAGATGATACTGTCCATAAAAGTATTTATTTTCTGTCTGTCCGTCTACTTGCATTCCTGTGACAGCTTCCCCGATTATTTTTTACTACTACGTGTTTCTTCTACAAATTCTGCCAGAGAGAAGCTGAAGGAAGGCTAGCATAAAGAATTAGTGACTTATACAAACGCCTGACTGCCTTTAGGAGACTGATGGGACAGTCTGGCTGAAAAGATGTGGGTGCAGTAGAACACAAAATGTTCAGCAAAGACAGTTCAATGACACCTCTCTACACTACTAAGGCATGGAAAAGGCTTTTGTGTTCAATGAAAAGGTCAGCTGGGTATTTAACACCTTAAAACAAAACTCTGGATGAACATAAAATCTAAGGATAACAAAAGTTCTCCCGAAATAGTTTTTGTAGAAGAAAATGCTCTCAAGGATGACT